GCTAGCGTCTCTATTGGTTGAAGCTCTTTTCTGTTTTCCATTGAGTTATAAAACGCAGTGCCTCCAATGCATTTCAGTTATTTACCGTCTCACACCGGCTGAGCTGGAGCACAAGTTGAGAGCGGATTTTTTTGCACCCTTTGACAGAGATAAGTCAGTGAAACTCTTGCATTTTAAAATCTTTTTTCTCTTATATCATTGTAAGCTTTTTAAAGATATGATTGCATGCATGTGTTTTGTTTCTGAGCATTTTCTTTTTGTTGATGCATGAAGAGTGCAAGGAGAGGAAGTGAACATTTAAATACGATTTTCACACTTTACAAGCATCAAGATAAAAGCCTAAACCAATTATGCTTTGAAGATTGTTGCTTTTTTTTTTAACCTTGAACATGAGGTCTTTGAATCACCCCACCGCACATATTAATTTCTCTTTGAAGTTGGGACGGTAAACTTGGTTTAGTTTACCCTGCTTGTCTGTGTCTTGCAGTGAAATCGTGCGTAGGTGTGTAGTGAGAGGCTCAGACTTTCCTCCACCATGCTGGCTCTGTCCAGATGTTCGCCAGCTTTGAGGTGGAGGCTTCCTCCGTGTTGCTCGGCTCTCCTTCTGGCGAGCTCTTCCATCACAGCCGGCCCCCAGTTTCTAACAAGCCAGATCTCTAAGTTTCACCAAAGCAAAGCCAGAGCAAGTCCTGATCCAAACAAGATCACATCAGGCAAGAACATATTCGAACGCTGCAACAATTAGCTGCTGTCAGTGACAATACAACAACAAAAAACAACCAATTGTAATTCAGATACATTTAAGTTAACTCCTGCTTTGAAATTTGAAAGACATGTTATTGAAATCAGGGCTGATTTTATCTTTTTGTTTTGATAAGAGTAATTAGTAAAGTTAGTGATGGGAAATTTTTTTTAAAAACGTTTTAAGAAGATATTTCCAAAAGAAACACCAGAGAAGTATAACTTAACTTTACCTTGTGTTATTAGCTGACATTTTAAAAATGTAGATTTCATTCCAACTCTGTAGAAGAGAACAAAGGAAGCCGGAGCTGGCTTCCTCTAACGGCTTTCCTAAAAGCAACTGTCAGAATCGTCTGTACGGCCGAGCTTTTTGATCTCATAAGTGAGGTTTAGATTGGGATACGATGAGGTTTCTCTGGCAGGAAGGATCACAATCACACTCACGAAAACACACTTGCAACAGACTTGCATTTCAGACGAAGCAGGCATGCTGGCTCTTGTTACTATAAGGCCCTCACGGTGATTTAGGTTCCTCTTTCTCAAAAAAGATAAATCATAGAGAAACATTTTCCGCTTTGTTGCATGAATGGCTTTTCAAAACCAACATCTGCATAAAACCGAACCCTGCGGTCTAACTTCTTTTTTTTGTTTTTACCCAGAAGAGCGAGCAGCAGTATAGTACCCTCTCTCATAATCATACCTTTTTTTCTGTTTTGCAACAGTGTCTGGTCTGGAGAGCGAGCTGCTGGAAATGGGGATGTGGTCCCTGGGTATCGGAGCTGTCGGAGCTGCTCTGGCTGGGATATTCCTGGCCAACACAGACATGTGTCTTCCTAAAGGTGAAAACGCAACACTGGAACACCTGGAAGATGCTGATCTGCGTTCCACCACAGATGGTAGGCGGCTATCAGATTCAATGTAATCATGTAAATGCATCATGAAGTCAGATTTGCCAAATATAAAAAAGCCTGGTTTCCAAAAAGTAGTTATTTATGGTTCATTTGTTATGCATGAAAACTTCTCGTTAAAAGTTTTCCGGTTGTCTGCAGATTCGAAGGTCATTAAAGCAAAGAGCCTGTGGGAGAAGAATGGAGCTGTGGTCATGGCCGTACGGCGGCCTGGATGATTTTTGTGCAGAGAGGTAGTTTTGATCTTGAGGTTGTTCTGCTTATCATGTTTATTCCTCTCTTAACTTCACCCTTGGCTGTCCCTGCAGGAGGCCTCTGAGCTGTCCTCTCTGAAGCCCCAGCTGGAAGAGCTCGGGGTCCCTTTGGTCGCTGTGGTGAAAGAGAACGTGGGCACAGAGATCCAGGACTTCAGACCGCACTTCGCTGGGGACATCTATATAGATGAGAAGGTTAGCACCGACACCACCACCACCATCGTCGTACCGAAATTAATTAATGTTTTAAAAGCCGGATACATAACAAATTTTAAATCCAGCACTTCAGTTTTAACAAAACATTTCCCAAAATCAATCAGACTGAATTGGGAGCTAATGAACATCGGTTTTCAAAGTCATAGATTTAGATCAAGGTCTATGTTTGTTTTAAAGGATCATTTGTTGTTTGCTGCTTTTCTTCATCTGTCCAACTAAAGCTGAATTTGATTCCAGAAACATTTCTATGGACCACTCCAGAGAAAGATGGGAGGGTTAGGCTTTGTCCGCCTCGGGGTGTGGCAGAACTTCATGCGGGCCTGGAGGTCCGGTTACCAGGGTAACATGAACGGAGAGGGCTTCATCCTGGGAGGAGTGTTTGTCATCGGAGCAGGAGATCAGGTAGTGTGATGTGCGCCGATTTAAATCAGGTGGCATCAAAACAATAGAAGTCGTTGTCCGTAACTACGTCTGGTGTCCCACAGGGAATCCTCCTGGAGCACAAAGAGAAGCAGTTTGGCGATAAGGTGGACACCGCAGACGTCCTGAAAGCAGCCCAGAAAATTGTACCGATGAAATAGTTTATCATTAGATAAAGAGCAAGAATACTGGTTTAGATCAAAGCTACAATGAACAAATCATTTTAACTCAAGTTTTGGTCAATAAATGTTTGCATTGACTAATACTAAATAAAGTAATATTAAATATTATTAATGACATTATTACAATATACCTCTGTCTTTTGCACAATGATTTGCAGAATGAATGTTTATTACAAATTGATGCTGTAGCTGTTGATTATTTATCAGACTTAACTCATTAAAGGGACTTTGTTTCAGGTAGATTAAGATTCAGGTTGAACAATAGTAAATAGTTAACACTTGAAAAAGATCCAAACCGCTTATTCAATTTAGAGCTTGACGTCATATTTGAGTGTAATTCTAATTCCTCTGTCCATCATATGTATCTGTACGTTTGTTATGTTGTTAGCAGGTAGAAGCCTATTTATCCATCCTTGTTAGGCACCTGAATGTTTCTTTCCATTGGGAACAGCAGCACCCGGTATGTGTGCATGTGAAATAATGACAACCTGACTTTAAACTCTGTGCAGAGAGGAGCAGGTTTGATGCCCAAATACACACCTACACACTGGTTCAGCTGCTGTCCTGATGGGGAGGCGCGTTCATGGTGTTTGAAGCAGGTTTTCTACTTGCTCCAGTGTTTTTTTTTATATATAGAGACATGTTCTGTTTGTAGATGCACATGTGCTTCGTAGCGGTATATGAATAAATCATTTCTAGATGTGTGTCTGTGTTTTTTTACTGGAGCGATATCATAATTTACTCTTTTTAAATCTGAGACGATAAAATATTTGTCTAGATATATATTTAAGGACTGTTGATGCATATTCTATTAAAGCACATTACATTGAGGCTTTAAAAAAAAACAAAAAAAAACCTTTAATATAATATAGACAGTCCTAGTTCTTTGGAACGGAGAGCTTAGCTTTTCCAAAAAGTTTAATTTGGCCTAGTTTACCCTAATGTGGAGAAGACATATTTGTTTCCATTGACACCATTGAAGTTATTTTTACTTTTAGGGAACTGTAGCATAAAAAAAAAATAGCTTGTACATTTTTTTCAGCAAATAATCTAACCAAGTTCATCAATCCCATTAAAAACAAACCTATTACTCTGGTATTTAGAGTCAAATTTACCATTTATTTTGACACTTCAGGATGGGACACCAGAAATTCAAAACCACAGTGAGTTTAAGTGTTTTTACAGTTCGTTATGTTACATCCACAATGTAATACACTTCTTGATGCTTTATGGAACAGAACAATACATACAAGTGAAGTGGAAGGAAAAAATTATGCATTGACCTTATTTATTTTATTTTTTTTTGGATAAAACCGAGGTAGCCCTCTGTGTACTGCAGTTTTATTTTTGTAGCTGCTGTTTTTCTTTAACAATCCGGTCGATTACTCACCAGTATGCCTGTTGCACAGAAGTTCACGTCTGCAGGGAAAATGGAAATAAAAACATTTCCTAATGTTGTTCCCTAAAAAAGCGGCACTTAAATGAACTTTAATGTTGGAAGGTATGCATAAAAATATGAGTTACTAGAACAGCTAATTTTCTTTAGCAGGTAACCTGTACCAAATACATGCATACAAGAGTAACACGTAACAGTGTGCATTGTTTTTTGTAGCTGTATGGTGTTAATTTACCAGATGTTGAGGAAAACAAGTTATTTGCTGAAGTCAATAAAAAAGTAACCCAGTGAATCATATTCCTGTGTATCAGGAAAACGAATAATATTCTGCTACTGCAGAATATTATTGCATATAGTGCTGCACATTAATGACGGCACTGTTTGTACATGTTTCCAGTGCCCCCTGGTTAATGTGCCACTATTACCTTTTAGTTTAAAGCATTTTAAATGCAGGAAGTTTAAAAAATTATGCGCAAACTTGAAAACAGTACAGACATATAGAAAAAAATACATTGGAGGTTCGGTTTGTTTTTGTTGCAGATTTTGGTGTAGACTTCAGAGTTGCTTTGCCAGTGAGTGACTAGATACTACATCAGTATTTAATAATCTAAGCATGCTAAACTAATTTGTCCTTGTTTATTGCCAGCAATGGCCCAGCATCTTTTAGATGTTTTGCAGATAAATTTAAGGGCACTACTGATTTTTTTTAATCCAATTTGGTTAAAAAATAACACAAGACAGGTGTCCTTCAATGTATTAACTCAAGCTTCTACATTCAGGAATACGGTACATTTAAGTGTTAATCCTAAACTTGTTTTTGGGCTCCGTTTCCCTAAGGGCAGGGCTTTTATACAAACAAATTCCAATCTGGTTTCAACATTTGTAACACATTTTCTTTTTATTGCTGTCGGTAAAACACATCTGACATCAAGGAAACATTTTGAACAATACAAAAATGGAGGGAATACTGTGCATCAATACTGACAGGTCTACATGAATATACAGAAAACTCACCATAACATTCATGGAGTGTAATATTAACATGGATTGTCCTTACATTTGTGCTTTAAGCAGTTAAAGCATGCAAAACAGGAGTGAAAGTTGGTGACAGTGTTTTTGGAGTGTTAAAATAAAAACTAAAATATGACATTTATAAACATCAAGTCCAGTAGCTTCCTGTCGGTGCTTTGGGATTCTCTTACACAATTCGGTGTAGAGGGCTGCACTGTTCAAGCTGAGGAGCACTTTACAGAGATATTTGCATAATAAAGCTGATACAAACAACTTCATACTCTAAGCACTTCTTAGCCACCTTGTCTTTGGAGGCAACAGGTCACAAAGAAATGCTGAAATAAACTATTCTAGTTCTAAAAAACAAATTGCAGAAAGTCATCTTTAGTTATCAGCATCAAGGGTTTGCAGACTGGAAAGATTACCTCTTAGCCGGCTCACAATCATCGTTCATAAATATATAACATAAAGAGAACATTCAATAGAAATCCAGTCAGGTCCAATAAGCAGCACAGCAAAGGTTATAACATAGTGCAGCATCACCTTCAATAGGAAAACCTCACATGGTTACACAGAAACAAGCATTTATCACAAACCACTGCCGCTCTGTTTTTGATTTAAGCATTTAAAGACATTAATAAAAATGTCTTACATTTTACAAGATGGCCTCTAAACTAAAACTTTTATCAAAAAATCAATACATTCTGGAGATTATTGAAGGTGATGTTCAAATTAATCTATCAGAAAATAAAGTCCAAGAACATAAGCTATATACTGGTACATCTCTATGCATTAGAACACCATTTAAAATGTACTTTAGTAATTTACCTGTAAAACTTAAATTCATAGACTATACCAAATAGCGGTGACATATTTTAAGTTTTTTTTTTTGGTTCTTCTGGAATAAAGGAAAATAAGTAATAACTTAGAAACCAAAGTCCCAGTCTAGATCGGTGTTTCCCAAACTTTTTTGATTTGTGTACCCCTTTGCGTTTTTCCTCTTACCATAAGTACCCCTCCCAGTTAAAAATATTGATGATTGTCCAAAAGTGGAACATACAATAAAACTGATAATTAAATAAAAACTATTTTACTAAATCCTTTAATTTGAGCATTTAATTCTTAGGCCTTTTATTCTTTCCGTCTCAAATAAAAAAAAACATAAATATGTTGCCTGGAAGTTAGTAAGGAATTAAAATAAATACAAAATAAAATTATATTATAAACCTGAATTCATAAAACTGGAGCTCCTCTGAGTAAGAGATGCAAAAAACCCAAACTGATTGTTCCTCACTCTAAAGTTCCCTATAATTTCAGGGGCCATGTTTAGAGCACTTTGTCTTAATGGGCAGACTGAGTTTGCTTTTCACACATCCCAAAATACGGAAACATTTTGATTCCTTAAATCAATCAGCAGCGCATTAAGGCTCCAAATGTATTGTTGTAATTCATGCGAAAGGGAAGTTTTGTAGGTCTAAAATAAACACAAATTTCAATGATATTCTAATTTATCAAAAATGATCTGTAAGTCTGAGTAAGAACACAAAACGATAGGGCAGTTACTCCATTTCCAGCAGTTTACATTTACACAATTACAAAGCCTGTACAGTCATTCATGTACGGTAAATATATTCATAATCCTACCAGAGATACAAAACATCACACAGCACAAGTGTTAGATGATTGCTGGTAAATTGCAAATAGTGAGTTTTGTCAGAAGATAAATTCAGACAGAAGGTCATTTAGCTAAATCATATGTAGCAAATCTCTTAACAAGCAGCTAAAATTACGCTCCAGTGCATATATATCTGTGCTTAACACTTTATACATCATATATAGGTATTCAGAAAATCTACATCATTTGGAGTTTATTCACAACAATCACTGTAATATACCCTCAAACATAATCGCTTTATGATGTTTGGTGATCTCATTAAATAACTGATCAAAGCAGCAACATTACTTTTAGACATTTTAAAACCTTTAGTGGTTTATTTTGCTAAACAGAATCTCAATGGCTTATCAAAGTCTTCTAGATAGCTAACACTCGCATGGACATGACAAAACTACTGTATCTTACAAAAAAGAAGAAATTCTGGTGTCCATATGCTGCTATCTGAAATAAGAGCAGATCTTTTTTTCTGCTTCCTTTTATAATGATGTGTAGATAACAGCAAAACCACTGAAAATAATGTCAACAGATAGGAAATGGTTGTTGTGTGGCTTCTTCTGAGTGGCATTATAGACACTAAGCATGTCCTCTAAATATATTGTGAACTACATGTACCTAAAGGCGTTAAGTACACTTTAAGGAGAGCTGCTCTGGTTGAGAGGCAGTGTGAAACAAAACAGGAAATACGATTAGGACACTGTTTTTAGTGAAAATAAAAACCATGGTTCTCTAATCAGAGAAAAGAAGCAAATATTTCCCCCCTCTGCAGCTGGCATGTCTAAACTAGGAGTCAGAATCGACCATTTCTTACTTTCCTCCAACTAATTAAATTCTTACCTGAGCTGTAAAACTGATGTGAACTTATTACATTTTATAAATACCCACTATATAAAATATGCTTCTTTTAGTGTAAAGAATAAAAATCGTATTTCTATTTTAGCTTTTAGAAGAAAGTTGCTAATTTATGGGAAAAAAAGGATAAGGATTACACCTAATTTGTTATATTTTCTGCAAGATAATACAGAGAAAGGGCTAAATTGTCCTTTGTATAACATTTAGATTTAAACCAAAGCACAGCTATTTGTAGAGTAAGAGTCAAGATGCTGTAGGTGGCAAACCCAGGTTAAAACAAAGTTTTAAAGATCAGACACACAAGGCAACCTTACACTCAGGAGTAAATAGAGACGACTAATATGAAAAGCCTTCATTTAAAACTCTACAAGACTTAAAATGCACATGAGAAAACCACCAATGAGTGATCAGAAGTTGCTTGTGTTATCAATCAGAGGAAGACTACATAAAAACACAACAACTGAACATGTAACAAAACCAAGATTAATGTAAAACCACAAATAATCTCTTTTTTTTTTTTTTTAAACACTCCAACTTGTTCCTCTGGTGACAGACAAATCTGTGTATGTTTGCATGTTTTCTGCGCATGTGCCTACAGGCCCTTGTTGAAGTAGACAGTGTTGGTGTCTGGACTTAACTGCCGTATCCTCTCCTGCAGATCTGTTTCCAGCCCGCTTACGCTCATAGAGCTGAAAAGATATGTTTAACCATTACGATAAAGTCAGCCCGCATTACATAAAGCTTAAAGCTCCAGATGCTGTAGGAATTGACTGAATGTACCTTTTCTGAGGGAACAGGGCGCAGCAGAGAGGAGTAGCGAACACCAGGCTTAAAAAGAGGGTGTAGAAATTACATTTTAGACATGATTTTAATGTAGACTGGGAGAGAAAATACTATTTTACTCACCATAGACCAACTAGACCAACTTGGACAGGAGCATTTAGAATTGGAAAACGCTACAAGAAAAACAAAAAACCATTTAATAAAAGAGAGAACTAAAACTAAGCAGATTTATAGAAAATCTATTGTTTCTTTGCACTAAACAACAAATTCTCCCTGACAAAAGTTATATTATTTGTATTTTTAACATTTCACGTTCTTGTCTACATGTTTATACCACCTACAGAAGATCTGCTTAAGAAATGCAGGTTTTACAGCATTTTCTTTTTTAGCAAATCCGTCAGATATGAAAATAGTCTAGATTAAAATAGTTAAATCTCGGCTTAAGAGTTTTAAACATTCCTGTAGATATGAACCTTTAGCGCCAATCCCAGCTGGATGAGGACCTATTCTTTTTCAGACCTTGTAGCTGATCATCACTTCATGGCTCCGGCCACATGTTGGTGCAGAACTGACCCATAAAAATAAGATAAAGGGCGCTTCCAGACCCAAAGTCCAACATTTAATGTAATCAATAGGTGAAAATATGTATTACTATTACCAATGCCTAAGCATGGTGAGAGATACAAAGCTCTTCAGCAAATTGGACCTACATCCTCTTTTTTTAAGTCCACTTTAGGTTCAAGGTTTGTGCATCAGAAAATATTTGCATGTTAACAAACTCTCTTGGGAACCAAGTGGTCCCTAGCATGGATTATATAAAATTAGGCCCCACTAACAGATCATTTTCAGATTGTCATAAAAGGACTGATGCAAGGATTCTAATATCTTTTTACTTCTCAGCTGCAGTCAGATACTCCAGCTTAACGCCCCCAACACTGAAAGGAAAAACTCTTCTCTCCAGGGGATTACTTCCAGCAAATAATATCCATTTGAAACTGAATATAGTTAAAAAGTTGTTGTCATAAAGTGGGGTTGTTGATCCAATAAGGTTTAATGCATTAAACCAAACTAAATCACTGTGCAAAACTCATTTGTGTCACTGAAAAAACATTGGAGCGCATGTTCCTACCTTCATAAAGGCTCTTTTCTCCAGAGCATTCATTATAACAGGAGGAATGGCTGTAAAAAAATAAATAAAAATGAGTTGAGGAAAGTCTTCAGATTTATAAGCACCTACAGTAAAAATCAAACAACCCACTTCAGGGGCTAAAATTCTTGCATCTCCTGTAACATTAATACAGTTCGATATTTATCTGATCAAATTATGAATAACAATCTGTACAAAGAATCAGGCCAACTTTATCGAGACAAAGGACAGAATGGCAAAACAAGCATGTTGACATTCCAGGGAATCTGTGGCAGAAATTATTTAGACTGCAGCCAAAGATGAGAGATGGATATCAGGAGACGCCCATCTGAAAAAAGATCCTTTTTTTAACAACACCACTTCTAGTCTGCACAAAAGCAAAACATAATCTTTAAAAGTATTCATACCTCTAGAGTATTTTATACAATTTACAAAATGAAAGCAAGAAACAGGCAAACAAAATGTAGGGCATCTTCTACATAATGTGATCTTGTGAGTTCTTTGATTTGATCACCAACATCCTCAAACAAACCTCTGGGGTCTGAACAGCTCTACCTATGTGTGTATTTCATTACACCTAGAAGGACTTTATGTACTAATCAATCTGATTTCTAAAGCCAGTTGAGCACATTGGATTTTATTTTATGGGTATCAGGTGGATAGAGGGAGAATATAAACTCATGCTATGCTGCTAAAAAGCTCCCTGCAAACTGTGAATGGAACATAGAATGGAATATTAGATTAAATTACCCATAGCAGGCACTGCCATGCCAATCCTGGACACCACCACCTGGACAATGGCTTGTTTGGCAGCATTGGCAGATTCTCCTAACCTGTTTCCGTTCTCATCCATCACAGGGATCCCATACTTCAGCTCCCTGGCAGAGGCAAACAGAAACCTGGCTGTGTCAAATGTGACCAGTCTTTACAGCTAAGTAAAGTGGGAAGTGGTCAATCCTCGCGGGACCTCACCTCTGCCTCATAAAGGGGATATTGATACAGTTGGCAGCAGCAACAGCAGCAAAAGGGACAAACCGACTGACGATTGGGGGGAGTCGCTGCAAGGACAGTCAAACAGAAAGTTATCACATTCTGCTGGACTTACTTCAACAGAGTATTCTTGTGAACCTGACATATTACCGTAGCAAGAGACTTGAGTCCCAGTGCAGTGACCACGGCCCCTGTGGTTGCGCTAACATAAGCGGCACCAAGCTGGCTGTGAAGAAGATGGTGAGGTTGACACAAAACAGACACCTACTGCCAACTTCCTGTTTCATACATATCACAAATGATAATTAGCTGAATACTGAGTGAAAACCACAGCTGATGGTGTGAACCTTAGCTGCAAGGTTAGGCAAAGTAAGGTGAAACAAAATGCATCTAATATGAGCTGTTAAAGCAAATAATGCTAATATTTCAGCTTGGTTTCATGCTTAACCAAACAATGTGCTCTTGCATGTTTGGAAGGCGCAGCTCTCCTCAGCATAACTAGATCATGTTTGATGCATTGCTGCAGCCAATGAATGAGCACAATAAAGTCATCATTCAAATGCATGTTATTCTAAAGGCAGTCGGTAGTAGATGTGAGCAGCATGAGGTCGTGGTGACATGAAGCTAAACAGAACAAAATAGCACTGAAAGGCAGAAAGCAGCAGCTCCCACAACCTCCTTACAGACAATAGTTTAGAGTGGAGGACATGAATGACTCCCTACTTCACGGTGATGGGAGCGTCTCCGCTGCGGTTGGTGTAGTTTACAACGGCGTTGAAGGACTGGTTAACCCACTGCCAGAACACAACTGCTGGAGTAGTCCTGAAAACACAGAACCACAGTAGCCTGTTAGAGGAAGTGAGGGTTCCCCCATTTTTTCTTCTAGAAGCAAAAACATGAAAGCCACAACCTGTCCAAACATAATGAGCACAGGTTAGCAGTAAAACCTACAATCAGCTGACCTCAAGCTAAACATAAAAACATTCATTTTTAAACAAAATTACATATAAACGAATGAAATTAGCAAATACAAACAACTTACATAAGACAAAATCAAATGGAAAAGAAAAAATAACCTATTATTAGCGGTTTTTGTGGGTTTAGACCTCACACATTTAAGAATTTATCATTTTCACTCAAAATTATGATTATTTTCTCAAAATATAAACAGATTTCCCCTTTAGAAAAAATTGCTGCCGCCTCCAGTCTAAATCACAGCAGACTCAACTTTTACATAATCAGATCTTACATCACGTCACATTTCATGTAACACATGACGCACACATCAAAGAATTCAGTTAAAGGAGAATTCCGGTTTTTAACACTTTTAGCCCATTTTCTGTAGTGTCCAGGATGAAATCGAATGATCGACACCAAAATTTTGACAATTGGTCCTGTCTCTGCTTTTTGGCTCATTTAGAATCCCCCCCTGGCTGCTTCAGAATGGCTTCCATAGTGCATGTCCGATAATGTCCTTAAAACAACCTTAAACGTTCTTTTTTTAAAATATGCTACTCACCGGGTCGTCAGCGCTGTTCAATGACGTTCCAAAAAAAGTTTCGTAAAGAAAAAACGTTCCTGTAGTGTTTTATTTAGCATTTTGTAAATCCCATTGAGTTCTGTTGGAATAGTCAATATTCCGCTGCCACCGGAAACGGAAATGGGGCCTGTTTACACAGTTGTAGTCTTTTCGCTTCACTCTGTGTACTCCCACGTCGAGAATCAAGAATCCACCTTTCGTATTCCATTTTCAGAGTTTTTTAAAGTGTTTAACAGAGACGTTAGCACCTCGACGTCGGAATTCTCCTTTAAGTTAGCAAAAAACAGTATTTTCACTGTAAGCAGTATTGTTTAGTTTAATGAAGTAGAAGGAGTTAAACCTCCCAACATGTACCTGAGGTTAATATTAAAGAGCCATCATAACTTTCAAGATAACACCACTTTCATGGCAGTATGCACATGATGGTCTAGTTTAGCTTTTAATGTTACTGTGAGGTCTACCCTGCTGTCATACCATATTTAGCTACACCCAGAAATTAAATAGCGCTATATCCTCTTATGTAAATGAAACACAGAGACTGCATACAAACTATAGAGTGTGATTGAATCAGAACAAAGGTCTTTAGGATGGATTTTACAACCTCATATGTTGTTAAATTAAGCACCAAAACAGTTATGTAAGCAGCTCTGATAATGTGTGTGGGAAGTGCCGTGGATTGTTGTGTCAACAGAAACTAATTCAATGTTTCCGGCTAGCGCACTCATTTATTTAGAAAGTTAGCCCAGTGGAGCATCTATGCAGATGGATCTAGATCAGGGGTCTTCAACGTTTTCGAGGCCAAGGACCCCCAAACTGATTGCGAGATGGAGCGGGGACCCCTAATTATATATATTGTATGAAATAGTGTTATATCAAACTGGTCCTATAGTCACTCTATTACATATGGAGTCATGTAACGAAAGTAATTTCTCCCTGGGATTATTAAAGTATTTCTGATTCCGATTCCTGGTTGATGGGACAGGTGTTGTGAATGAAACGGTGCCCAGGTTTGAAAGAGCCCCTGTGTGTCGCTGAATGTGTGCATTGATGACTGAAAGACATCATCTGCTTCCATTTATATGTTTACTACAGTGTGTTGAATTCATGTTAATGTGTATTTAAAGACATTTTAATTAGTGCAAAAAAATGCAGGAGGGAATATAAAAAAAGGTAATCAACCAAGACTTTCGCGACCCCCATGCAGTACCTCCGCGGACCCCCTAGGGGTCGCGGACCCCCTGTTGAAGACCTCTGATCTAGATGTTGATACTTAGTTTAAACATCTGAGTTCTGGGAACAAAAAAAGAATAACAACAAAACTTCAAAGTTACAAAGTTTAGTTTTTGCCTCAAGTAAACCTAAGACAGAATAGGTCATTATTACCTAGAACCAAAGAAAGTTTGGATAAATAGAAACCTTTTTTTTTTTTTTGAAGTGCTACCCCTGGCTTTGATATTTTAGACAATCGTTCACTGTGTTGGATTCTCAATAAAGAATGATAAAGTTAAATCACCTCTCTTACTACTTAATCAAAAAATAAAAATAAAGAAAAAACATACTGATAAGCTGCAAATCCAAATACCATTATTGAGATGTCTCTACTTGAACTGACAAGACTAAACTACCCAGAAGGTGCTTGAAAAATTAGTTTGAAATTAATTTGAACACTTCCAAACCACATGTTTAACAAGTTAAATGTAAAAACTGCTGTCCTCTAGTGGTGAATCACAAACAACACAATGGCAGGTTGTCTATGCCAATGTTTCCCAAGCAGGGGTACACAAGTGCAATGCATGGGGTACATGAAAATATGTAATTTCTTAGGTAGTAAAATAAAATAGGGATGGGATCTGTTCTGCTTTCTGAGGACCCAATTTAAAAATAAAACAAGCTTTTCTCAACCAAAAAGTTAGTTTCGCTTCTATGTTTGAGTGCCTTCAGTTTTGACATGCATCAGAACTAAGCAGAGGAACAGACTGTATATAGAGAACAGCCTGGGATCAGCTGTTTTTCACACTGAGCTATTGCAGCTCATCAAAGCAGCTCAGGTGTCTTGGTGAAAACAAAAACAAAATTAATTAAGTCAATTAAGTCGATTCATCAAGTTTAAATGTATTTATAAGCAATTTACTCAGTGGAGCTCCAGTTTTATAAATACAGGTTTATATTATGATTTTATTTTGTATTCAAGGCAATTCCTTACTAACTTCCAGGCAACATACTAATGCTGTTTTTTGCATAAAATGCCTGAGAATTAAATGCTCAAATTAAGATATTATTTACAATAGTTTTTATTTTATAATCAGTTCATGTAGGTTCCACCTTAGGATAATCTTAAATACTTTCGACTGATAGGGGTATTTATGGTATGAAAAAAGGCCCAAAGGGTTACACAAGTCAAAAAAGGTTGGGAAACACTGGTCTATGCAACCGTAAAATCTCCATTTAATCCTAACCCAACAGATAGTGCTAGACAAAAACAATAACATTTAAGCATCTAAATAAAACAATCAAAACACAATAAATGGAGTTTTGCCATGGTTTATTTTGGGTGTAATGTTTTTGAAGCAGTTTTGAGTGAGAGAAAAATATTTTGTAATTTTATTAAAATTTTTGACTATTCGTTATTATTTTATCAGTAAAAGCTTGTCAGCCCATCAGGTTTTTCAGTAATCAGAAAGGGTAATCATTTTTGATTTTTAAGAGGATTTCCATTGGAAACGGATTAAACCTTCTATTTCGGGTGCTGCTGTATCTGCTGTCTTATCTGCCTGTTTTTTTAATGTACATATTTTTTTATATGAGTGATTACTGCATCAGAACCTCTGCTGTACCTGTAAAACGTGAGCATGCAGCCTGTGATGGACATGTTCATGGGCACCTGAGCAGACATCCGACCAATCACAAACATCTTCTCTCCAGTGTCGGGATGGAAAGCAGAGTCGTAAATGTACTTGGCTCTCCAGAGCTCATCCTCGGTCAAACCCGGTTTTACGGTGCCGGTTCTGAAAATGCAGAATAACGGGAAGGTTTCATACTTTGTTAAACAGTCATCTCAAAAGGGTGAAGACAGATAGGTGTTTAAGTTTTGCTATAAATTTTTCTAGCACAGTTATCCATTAGTGCAGAGACGTGCATCGTAGCAGGAGGATCAGATGGAAGCTAGATTCAATGAATGGGTCATTTTATTGGCTAATTCTGACTCAGTCCTCCATCACCTCACCTGTAGTTCTCTACTATTACTCTGGCCTCCTCCAGAGTCTCAGAGGACAGCAGGACGTTCCTGGGATCTGTGACCATGAAGAAGTGTTTTGCACGGCCCATGAAGGTTCCCTGGTCCCATCTAGGTTCCTTAATGTTAATGTTGAGCGACAACTCTCCAGACATCCTGGCTCTTCCCTGATCAAAGGCAGATGTGCTGATTATTGATAGATTTAGACAAAAAAAAAATATTTGATTCCTGTATTGCAAACTATGCATTTTAGATTATAGTATATTTTTTCTACATGGCAGCAGAATATAAGTAAAAAAAATTTTTGACACAAATTACACAAAAAGGGATCGAGAGATTATAGCTCTATATGATCTATATATAGATATTTTATTTGTTTTACACTGAAGTAAAAGAAATAAAAACCCGGCAGTACACAACAGTCAACAACATTTCGACAGATTTTAGCCTTTTTAATTAGGGGTTTTAAATACTTGAAAATGCTAAAACATATATATTTTTTTTACTGCTTTAAAGGGGCTTTAGTTTTTGGGTGTTGATTAAAAAAAATCCACTTTATAAGTAAAAGTATATGAAGAGGTTAATGGATGTGTTATTTACTAGTATTCAGATCTGCTATACTGAAGCTAGAATAACTGATTTTTAAATCTTAACTCAAAATCTGGTTTAACAATAAGGGCAAGCTTCAGTAGTTCTGAGTACTATTTATGCAAGCTTTCTTATTTTCTAAAACTAATAAATACAGATCTAACTGAAGAAATTGCAAAAATCTTGCTGTCATTCCCAGGTCATTTAAGAGGATCAATAAACAGATGCCTACTTAAGTGGTTTAGTGGTAACAGAGTCTTTTCCATTATTAAGAATTGGTCAAATTTATACACTTGATAGAGATTAATTGACTTCTAATTGAAGGTTTATGGCTTTCTAAAAAAAGAAGACAATTTACTATTACAGGGCTGTCAACTCTCACCCACTGGGAGTGAGACTCACTCATCTCAGTGTCTTCACACACTCTCACTCCATATTCCCAATTTCTCACACTAAAAAATGGCAGACATTAAAACTCAACTCAGTCTAGTTTAATAATGAAATTTAGGAGTAATTAAACAAACACAAATATTTTAACTCTTTAAGCTTTCAGGTTTGCCTTGCAAACCCACAGGAGGTCCAAAAAAAAGAAAAATAACCATTGCATTTTATTTTTTAAAAGATCAGCCACCCAAGAAAAGACCAACCACATGCAGAGAGGATGTGCAGAACAGTTCAGTTATCCTGGATTCATAGAGGAGAAACCACAGGGATGTTCTTCTTTTATTATTACTTATCATATTTATTTATCTTTATTTTGGTCCACTGAATATGTTTAAAAATTTCCATCACACTCGAGAAAAGTGCTTTCTCCTGTCATGGTGAGTTTTTATTGAGTCTACAGCCGCATAAGTGGTTTGAATTGTTTAGCTGTTTTGTCAATTGTAAAAAAAAAAATAAAAATTGTAAAAAAAACCCAAAAAACTAATAAGATAATCATTTAAGATTTTTAATCCTTAGCCTATTACCAAATATTCATAGTTTAGTTTGCATGGGTTTCGACTGCACTAATTTCTGTATCAGTGCCAGTAATGCAGTAATAGCTTATAAGTTCCCCATTGTTTCATTTATTTGAACAGCAGAGAATAATTAATGAACAAAGTTGTGAAATTCTTAGTTTAAAGCATATTTAAGATGCAAGTATTTTAGTATGGCCCATTCTGCTTTACTTCAATCCTTTAAAAATCACCAGAATGTTGAAAATAATTTATATTGTTAGGAAAAATGTTCCACATAACTACTAACCACTTATTGTTACTCAGTAACATTAATTGTGATATAAAAATTCCACATTTTGCTACTTTGTTTCAGTTAAATCCTCTGAAAACCTCCAACCTATAGCTGCAGCTATCCTCATCTAACCCTGACAGGGTTTCTTGTCCAAACTATTTCAAGATCTCCCCCCAAGGTTTGGTGAAAAGTTGGCAGCCTTGTTGTTATGACACTGATTGTTATTACACAGGAGGTAGCAAGGCATTACAAAATGACCTGCTTTCATATTGAGTTAGAGATACAAATATATGTCCAATAAAAACTGCCAGTAATATTGATATTTATTTTCCTTTGCGAGGAAGTTCTATAGGTACAGAAATTAAAATATAAACTGGACAATTTCTTGTTTCCGTTAATTACTGTAAAACACACATATATATAAAGGGAAAAAGGTTTAAATTAACCGATAAACCAGGAAAGGAACTGATCGAAGCCTAAATCGCTGACAGAGGAGCATGAGGCGTTAGCAATGTAGCCTGCTAGCATGGTAGCTAAACCGAAACCAACACATTCAAGTAAACAAAGCGTCTCGAGACGATATAATCAATATGAATCCATACTTTTTTCAAGCGTTAATATGATAACGTTAGCAGATGTGACTGATATCATTACAATAATCAAATGTCCTAATATTAGCCAGCTACCTGCTGGGTTTACAAGCTAAAACCGTAATGCTAGCAAGTAGCGTTAGGAGGACACATTTTATAAAGGAAAATATGTGAACCTAATCAGTTTGTGATATGGATAATACAGGGAAACAAATGTGGTCAGACCCAGAACATACCTGGTCCAATAAGTTCGACTTTTGAAAATGTATGACCTCTCAATATCACAGCACACACCGGCTGAGCCAATGATGCATTAACGTGTCTTCACAGTGTCGTAAAACTCATATCGCACCTGAATAAGCCCTAAATGCTTTCTCGAGAATGAAAACATTCTATCATTGTCTAATCAAACAAATCCTATTGAGGTGCTAATGATACATTTTACAACAACAACGCCACATTGATAATAAAAACAAATATGTTGTGCCCGAAGCCCCTTGCTTTCAAATATGTTGATACATAATTTAAATTTACATTCATTGGAATCAGGTGATGTATTTGATTAAGCATAATAACCATATGCATTTTAAATGAATGTATAATTGTAAAAAAAAAAAAATAAATAAAAGAACTGTTTCGTTTCACCTTAAAAGTCTTCGAGGTGCCTTGAAGGCAGCACCAGTGTATCTTGTCTGACACACTGGGGCGGGGTTAGTGACGTGAGGGCGTGTGAGAAAGCTAGTATCTGATTGGACGACTACCAGGCTGAATTTTCTACTGCATTTTTAAACAGGTCTAAAAATTAGTGCTTGCTTTAAATAAAGTTTTCAGATTTTTGTTTTTCTTTCATGAAAAGAATACCACGCATATATTTCAACTTCACTGCAAATAAATAATGCTAATAAAACTGAACTAAATCTGAAAATTCCTTAATTTAAGACTTTTACTAATCATATACACATGAAATAAAACTAGGGGCAAATTAATAAATTTAATACATATAATCTATTTAGTTTTAAATTAAACTTAGGAGAAGCTTTAAAAATAATTACTGAAATCCCACCATTCATCGCTAGGTGGCGTTGTTCATCTATCTTCCTGACCTCTACAATATGCAGTACATCACCTTCTTTAGCCCTAAAGTAAAGTAAAAAAAAAAAAGGCTTTGATAACATGGTTTGCTTGGAACCAAATTAGATGTTAAAAAAAATTGAGTTTGAACTTATGAGGAATTTAATTGGGCTACTTATTAATCTCTATACATCTACAGAGGCTTATGTAAAGGGCTTACAGCTCTTAAGACAATAATGGTCACCTGCAGAACAAATGTGGTGGCACTAATTCTCCGGAGGTGTCCGCTAATGCGTCAGTGAGGCGGACCACTGAGCGCCTGTCCGAGCTCCTGCTGCAAAACACGGACACAGCAGGTAAAGCTGTCATGCTCTGTTGTCTTCGTTTTGATCATGATATTGTTTTTTTTTCACGCGCCGGTAGGAACAACTTTAGAATGAAACTGAAGTTTAACACTATGACTTCCCGTGGCAGAAGTTGATATAGCGATGTGAATGTACTTGCGAACTGCAGATGACTTTAGATGAGTTTTTTTGTTGTTTTATTTTTGTTTTGTTTTTGCGCCACCTCTGAGTCACTGTCCATGGTGCTGAATAATTACTGTAACAGCAGTTTATTAAACATGACGCTTGATTGCAAGTTAGTTTTACCCTATAAAATGATATTTAATTTGTAAACATTTTATAAGGAAATGCCAACTTCTGAGTGTTTTTTTTAATTTATTTTTATTTTCTTAGGTAGACACATCAATTTAATCAAACGTGACCTTAAAGTAATCACTGTGCATTTCTAGGTTCTCTGCCAAAAGATCCAGCTTCTCTGTCAGGCTCTAGGAGCAGAAGTAAGATGGTGTCAGAGAAAGCCTGTGGACTATTTTCTTTCCCTGCAAACATTTGGATCTCTTTTTGGTTGTACCGTTTATATTGAATGACTAGTTTTTACCATTTTCTTTAATTTATATGAAGTATGATTACACAATGTGTAGGTAGTGGTCGTTGAGCATTACTTTGCTCTCTGCTTTTCTAATTCGCACTTGGAATCTGACAGAAGTTGCCAACTTCAGGAGCAGTCACCCTCAGAACTGAACCAAAGTGGACCAGCTGGTGGAAACCACTCCAGTTTTTTATCACTGCTGCCCCCCCATCAACCTTTCTCCCAACTCTGAGACTGCACCTCCTCCTCCCTCCTGACAGGGGAAACCAGATATTCCAGTGCCTGGATGACTAAGGAAAGTTTCTTCAGACCTATCCGATGGCTGGCTCATTTGACCCTCCTGCCTGGGGCCAGATGACGAATGGAGGCGGGCACCCCCACCTCAGCAATGGAGGTCAGGGTGGGGGTTCCCGAAGCACCACACGCTACAAGCTGAGAAAACAGCAGCGCCACAGACACAGGTCCTCCTCTCCCATGGGCAGGGTCATTCTCATAAATGCACCTGTAGATGGTGAGCTCTAAACCTGCTAACTCATAACTATTACATCATTTGGGGTGCTATAAAACTGATGGATTAGCCTAAGGGGGAAACTAGTTTTGCTTAAGTCAAAGTAACTCAATACTAAACGAAAAATGTTTGTCATTATCCTCAAAAACCAAAATTAAATATTTTCATACACTGTTTTGAATGTAAAAGAAATCAGGTAGAGGTTATGGACACATGCTTTTGGACAATTATGGGATACAATTTCAGTTCTTTCATTAGATTATGCAGTTGGGAATTTTATCTCTTTCTAAGAAAGCACAACCCCTTTTCATTTGTTACAGCTTAGGAACAAAAAAATATATACGATTCAAAATTAAACAAAAATATTAGAATCTGAGCTCATAACTTCAAGAAAACCAAACTTTTGTTTCGGAAAGGATAAAAAAAAACCGTCTGGTGTGTATCAAATTCTTTGTTATTTATAAAAAAAAAAAACCCACAAAGGATTGCATAAATTGAATAGAAATCAAGTAAAAATGCAAGCAGTGACATACAGGATTTAAGCCAATTTAAAGATACATTTGCTTCAGTAATGGAATATTGTTGCCTCCTTTGTGAATTAGGTAAGTCAATTAGCCTACTTGTTAGTGCTTCCAGTTTCACCAGACGATTTTCTTATTTTTATTAGATAGAAAGTGCACGTTTTCTTAAACTTAACAAATAAACCTTGTTATATCTTATTTAGACTAAAGAAGAAATTTAACAGATTCCCCATTGGCTGTGTGTTAGTCAACTTAAATCAACAACTTAATTAAAACTTAACATTTGACTATGTACTAAAATTCAGGAAAACTGTGCTTAATTTTAAAACATTTTCTTATGTAGGTATGAACATTTTCCTGAACTAAACAAAGCAACATATTATTTTCTTTCAAACTGAATCATGGATTATTTTTGAGATCCCAGTTTTCCCAATTGTTACCTTTACCTAATCCCTTATCCCTTGTTTTATGGACAGCTTAAAGATGGACTATACTATCCTATCATAGCAAGATCTCTTGTTACACATATATAAAAAAAATACCTTTAAGTAGTTGCCTAATAGAAAGTTCTAAACCATCTAATTATTTAAAAAATAAATAGAAATGTAGGTATATTACAACTTTGTGACAACATTTCTAACAGATAATGATAACATACACCATTAGGAACCAGTTGTAATGTAAACAAGACCCCGCCAAAGGTTCCTAGGTCCACAGTGAATGGGCATAAACTGATATCTTAGCTGTGTATGTAACACAAAGGGTTTGTTGCATATTTGCACCAATGGGTGCCAAGGGTTTAACTTATAGTTAGCAGTCATAGCAATCATACTCACCAAATACGTACGTCAGATTCTTGATGGCTTCATTTCTGTAGGAGGAGATGACTGTGAGGACATTCACACGGTGACAGTCAATAAGAGCCCAGATGGTCGTCTTGGCTTCAGTGTCCGTGGGGGCTCTGAACATGGACTAGGCATATTTGTCAGTAAGGTAGAGGATGACAGCTCCGCAGGTATGGATTCCCTCTGCATGGTATTTGTTTTTCCTGTATTTACATCAAGTAGAGGTGTTTTGTTTACATGTGACATTTTGCTCTTGTTTGTCATGCTGAGTTCTATCCATGTCTGCAGAACAGGCTGGGCTCACTGTGGGGGATAAGCTGGTGGAGGTGAATGGGGTCAGCCTGGAGAGCATCACCATGAGCAGCGCTGTAAAGGTCCTCACAGGCAACAACAGGCTGAGGATGGTGGTGAGGCGAGTAGGGAAGATCCCAGGCATCCGCTACTCCAAGGAAAAGACCACATGGTTAGACCACTGAGTTACAGGGCACCATCCAAGGCTATGTCATTGGCTGCTTTAATTTGCTGTAAATACTGTAATGAATGCAGCAAATTGCTTATCTAGATACATTCTTAGCTAGATATACCATGCAAAGTATTCATACACAGGGAAAATGCACACAGTTAGTGAAAATAATACAGTAAAGGCCAAGCTTTGGGGAAAGACTATTAGATACAGCAAAATACAGCAAAAACATAATAAGGTTTTAACTTCTGCTGGTATAACACCTGAAATCTAAATGAAATACAATTAAGTTATTGTTTATAATGTAACAAAATGTAAAAAAGATTGAGGTTTATGAAAAGAATTATAAGCCACCTCACATTTCTGTAAGGAACTGAATTCTTAGTACTTGCACATTTGAGCTTTGTGTGGGTCTTTTATGTGAGGCTTATCACTTTCCTTGAGCTTACACTGGTTATCTCTCTTTTGGGATATACTGTATCTTGGTTTCATGTGGCAGCAGTGGATGGATTACTGCTCTGACCTTTATAGCTTTTTGATTAACTGATACTGATGTATTTGAGTTCAGTGCAATAAGGGAAAAGTAGAATATGTGTTTTGCATATGTGTGTAGGGTGGATCTGATTCACCGGCGGATGGTGGTGGAGGAGAACGGTCGTACGCCTTCAGAGGCCAGCTCAGACAGCGCTCTCCGTCGCATCATACATCTCTTCACCACATCAGATGACTACTGTCTGGGCTTTAACATCAGAGGTGGCAAAGAGTTTGGACTGGGCATTTATGTCTCAAAGTACGAACATAAAAGCAAAAGTAAATAAAGAGGCTGATGGCAGTTCAATCCACGCAGTACTAATTTTATCAGTTAACACAGTTTGTATAAACTTGAAGAAAGAGGGTTAAACTAAATGTTCTAACACGCTGGATTCTTTTTTAAGTTTTTGTAGTAGATAAAACTAAGCATGACCCAGTTATGAACCACAGCTATTGTATTTTTTGTTAGATAGCTTTTATAAGGGGAATGATCAATTTTAACCTTGATGTAAGTGCACATTCAGTTTCTTCACTTCTATATGTATATATTCTTCCTGCAGGTTGGACCCAGGTGGACTTGCAGAACAGCACGGCATCAAAATGGGTGATCAAATCCTTGCTGCAAACGGGGTGAGCTTTGAGGACATCACCCATAGCGATGCAGTTGAAGTCCTAAAGAGCCACACTCATATCATGTTGACCATCAGGGTGAGAAAAAAATATTCCAGATTTTATTTATCTTTAGGACTCAATTCATTTTTTTTTAAGTAAGCCAAATTAGATCTATTTAGAATTACATTACAAGAAATGTTCCTGTTTTTGGTCAGTAAGACTTCCAAAATAATTTCTATTAACCAAATCCCAGAATTATAACTAAGTAAATGCATTCAGTCATTCAAAAGCATGCATTAGAAACTCTAGGAAGAACATAACACCTGGCTGAGTTTTCCACCACAGACTAGGTACTGTAGCACGATTAATGCTAGCCGCTCAAAAAGACCATCTTTTCTTACTGAGCCTCCACAGCAGAGCACACAACAGATCGACAACACTATTATCCTCTATAAGTGTCTGGTTTTGTATACCTGCGTTTAAGACCACACTACTTAACCTTTGTCATCTCTGCATGACAAAAAAGTGCACTTGAGTCAAAACGCATGTGCTGTGTAGCGTGCACCAACACTCATAAGTTTGCCCTCTTAGCTCATTTTACTCCCCTGATCTCAGGTTGCATGTGTGAAAAAAATCCAGGTACGACCTTCATTATTTAGAGGCAGCTGGGGATCAGGTGATAATCAACAGAAAACCAAATTTTATGGCTTCCTATTATCCTTTATTTGAGCTGTGGATCAGAGGCAGGCATAGGAGAGGATTCAATTTAGTTATTAAACTGTTTCACACCTGAGCATCTAAGGCTTATATGGAAATACATGTTGGCTGTTTTTACTTCCCCTCTTCAACTGTGTAATGGGGAGGAAATCTATTAAAAAGGTGCTTCAGCAAAACGAAATAGAAACATGTTTGGAAAAATGTTTGGAACAAAATGAAAACAAATTCATCTATGCTAATTCCAAGCAGGGATACTGTGCTTTATAAGTAGCAAGAATTTCTAGAATTTTCTAACTTTTCTGAAAACATCTTTCACAGGAAGTTGGAAGATACCCTGCCTACAAGGAGATGGTGGCAGAGTATGGGTGGCTTGATAAATGTAAGTTGCTTTTTCTTTTTAGGTTATTATTGTTACAAATAATCAAAATACATATTATAATTAACTGAATAAAAGTGATTGTAATCGAGAAAATTTACATACATACTACATAAAAAAAAACTGTCAAGGTCAGAACCTTGATTAGGGCCACAATATTCTTTGATCTGGACCGTATAATTACAGTTCTGACTGTTTGTCGTGTTGCTGTGCTAAAAGACAGTGATCCCCACTTCACCCCACTCCGTTATCATGTCTTTTAAAAAGCCTAAATGGTTTCATTTGTAATTAGCTTCAACTACATTTTGACTGACTTTAAACAGGATCCTGCCCATGCTCTAGAAAAGTCCCTGCTGATGACCTCACCAATCATCAACTTTTATTTTAAGATAAATTACATTACCCTTAATCAACTTATACCATTTTCCACCTGCTTCCACATGTTTTTTGGATTATCACTAACTTTAAATAGGACTATCTTACAACAATGGCTCTTTTTTATCTATAAAGGCCTGATCCACAGAGTGAAGTCAGATACTTTGGGTCACTCTACAGCTCCTCCACTTATCACTGGCTTCTCTGCTAAGTGGAGAGCCAGGCTTTGATGAAGTTACAGCTCTGGCATATCTGTTCCATTGCCAATGAGATATTAAAGCTGTTTTGTATATATATATATATATATATATATATATGAAAATATCCCTGAACCTTTGGATGTGTTTGTAAGAGGAGAAAGGTTGTGATTCAGACATATGTGAGGTTGAAGCTTCCTGTTGTTTTTGGGGAATAATAAACATTTAAAACACACACATCTGGGATCCTTTTAACTATGATTTTTTTTCTTCCCCACAGTAGCCAATGGTGGTCCTGCACTGTCCTCTCAGGGTTCAGACTCCAACTCCTCTGTGTGCTCACTTTCCTCCAGCACCCCTGTCAGCTCCCTCAGTGGTCTATCTCAGGTCCTTTTTCCTCCGGTTTTTCACTCAGAGATGGTGGATGTAGCCATTTGCACAGAAGATCAGTCCCGACGTCAAAGCAGAGCAGAGCAAACTGCAGACACTGCAATACAGACTAACACCCTACCTTCAGGCTTTATGGACCAGCCTTCAGCTGACAGGTTGGACTCTGTCCGAGTGGTTGGCACTGAAACCAGTCGGGCTGTTGGTGAAACAGTGCTGTTAAAGGACACGGTTGTACGTGGGAAAGGTGAGGGGCCAAAGGACATGGGAGGAGCCAGAGAGCTGGGACAGGACCGGGTGGGGACACTGTCTGCTGGAGACAAAGGTACTGTAAGGCGGTCTCCAAAAACAGAAGCTCTGATGGCTCTAAGCAAACCACGAAAGCCAATCCGACGTTCCCAAAGCCACATCACTGTGTCAGGTAGGAGTAACACCATCACAGAAAAGAACTGGACTAAGAAACCTGTCAGCTTCTGACAGCAACATAACTTTGGCAGCATCTTGCAGACTCAAATAACACGCCTTCAAGAGTTATTCAGAGGGATACCATCTAATGCATCTAAAGCAACTGCTTTAATTATTCTTTCAGTTATGTCAAAACTAATATCTTTCAGGTTTTAGTTATTTTCTTTCTGTTTGCCTGATCTTCATAAATCATAAAGTGTTGATCCAACCCAGATTTATGGAACCTCTGCTCTTTACACATAGAATTTAGAATACTTAGATTTTCCAGACACAGGAGAATCCTGCAGATCTAGCCTATTGTATGTTGGGGCCTTAGGCAGAAGTTGATTCTGGGGCCCACACCAACCTTAATCCGCCACCAATTACTCAAGCATCAATCCTTCTAATGTGTGAACTCGACATTTATCACACGTTTTATAGGAAGTTCACAACATCGTTATTATTTGATAAACAGATCAATCATATACTATTTGGGACATAAATAGCTTATAAAATTTATGAACACTACAAAACAGCAATAACTGACCCAAAACAGGGTCATTTTCTAACTGATCTGTTCAGTCTGGCCGTGGGGTCTGGTCTAAAGCATTTCAGCACATTCAACCAATGGTTAGGGCTAGAGTTACAAAGTACAGTATGGTGAACAGTGGTGTCAAACGTACACACATTTGTTACTTCAGTAGAAGTATAGATACTGCAGTTTAAAAACAGTTGGCCTCTTTACCCAAGTAAAAGTATGTGCTCCAAAAACTACTTAAAGTATAAAAGTATAAAGTAACCTTTAAAAAAAACAGCCAGATGCCACTATTTGAATCGAAAGCTACATTTTTCAACTATTTTGAAAAGAAAATTTGAGATGAGGGAGGTCTTGTTGGTCTCTGTCTCCCGATACGCTCTCAGCTGTGTCCGACTTTTCAGACATTTCGACACTTTTTCTGAATCTGACATTGTACCATGGCATAGACAATTCACGTTTGCAGTTTGAAGAACACCTGCTTGCTTCTGATGATTTCCTTTGGCACTTAAGTACAGTAACAAAGTATTTGTTCTTCGTTACTTGACACCTCTGATGGTGAAGTAATTTTTTTTATATAAGAAAAAAGTAAAAAGGTGCCTCAAACAGCAGATAATAGTAAACTTGAACCAATAATTTCCAATGTCATTTTTGAAATATGAATATTTTAGGTTTCAAATTTGTAGCTATAGGAAAAAAAGGTAATGTATAATTTATGCATTATTTCCTTGTTTAAACAATGAATCTGGACAATAATGAATAATCAGTTCCTTCTAAAATTAAGACAGAGTTGCAAGGAAAATGCATTTGGGGTTTGTAGGGTCAATGGAACTTGGTGCCTATCTCCAGCAGTCTATGGGTGAAAGACAATCTACATCCTGGACAGGTCCCCAGTCCATCACTGTCATGTTAGTTTGTAGTTTTTTTGACCACATGCAGAATCACATGGAGAACCAGTGAGTTTTAACATTTTATTTACAAAAACAACAAGAATCTGGAAGCGGAGAACTGCAGGAAGTCAGTCCAACTTTCTGGGTGGTGTGAAGGGAGAAAGACTGATCAGGAAGGAGTTGGTTGATGAGAATTGATGGATTTGCTTACTTGAGAGATGAAGGGGAGGTAGCATAGATCTGTAGGGGTTTAATTTAGCGAGCTTTGCAGACTTTACCTCAGAGGTCCGGTACTATGTGAGTGAGATATGATTTTTAACATCCACATATATTGCAGGCAACCTGAAAATGTGTTCAAGGAGTGCAAGAATTCGGTTGATTCCTAGATCATTTTGCTGTGTGGGCCAAGTGAATAAGGCGGGACCTATGGAATTAGGAACATAAACCTGGTTTGGATGTTCAGTGTCAGGGTCCGGTTCGGACCATAGAGCCTCCAGGACTGGTTCCTCTATTTCCTACAATAATGCCTCCAAAATGCAGGAAGGTTGAATGACAGTTGAGATATTGGGTTCCTGGTCACTGGAGTATTGCCTAAACAGGGCAACGGGATTTTCTCTTCTTGGAGATAGGCCAAAATTGTGGTCAATCCACACAATAACAGGATGTTCAGCTCCCTCCAACCAGTAGTGCTACTCTTCAAAGCCATTTGTTATGGCTAAGAGCTCTCTATCACCCACACCATAGTTTCGCTCTGCTTGAGACAATTGGTGGGAAAATAAATCACAAGGATGAAGTTTATTATTGTTAGTGGAGATTTAAGAAAGGACTGCACGCACCCCTAAATCATAGAAATCCACTACAAGGATAACTTGTTTCTCTGGATGTGGCAGAATCAGAATCAGGGCATTGGCAAACCTTTTCTTGAGCTCCAAAAACCCCTTTTTGGTTTCGGTTACCCAATTGAAGGTTTTTTTTGGGGGGGAAGGGTTGTTGGGGGTTTGTTCGTTTGGCTTTTGTTTTTTAATGAATCTGTGGTAGAAGTTGGCGTATCCCAAAAGAAACTGCTTGCAAGTTGCAGGAGTAGGGCAATTGAGAATGGCTTGAACCTTCTCTGGATCTGTCTTCACCTGTCTGCTTTTATGAAAGGGGCCTAAAAAGGTGGTATGAAACTGTCACTTCTTGGCTTTGACAAAGACTTGGTTCTATAGAAGACACCAGAGAACTTGACAGTGGAACTAGAGGGAGGTCTTATGCAGTTTCTTGTACTTGAGAATTTAGAATTTAGGACTTGTTTAGGTCTTTGGCTGGAATACCACCAGGGATAATCATCTACTGAAGAGAGATGATCCTTTGCCTCCTTATATACATGCCACTCATCCTGGGAATTGTTCTTAGGTGTGCAGATACATACGTGCGTTGCCCTTTGTAACATACAAAGGGAAACACACACACTCACTCACACAAAGAGCAATTCAGGGACACCAATTAACCTGATAAACATGTCAAGGATCTGGAGTACCAGTAGAGAACCCACACATACAGAGGGATAACATGCTAACTCCATGCAGGAAGATCCTGGATCAGGGATCACACCAAGGACCTTCTTGCTGCAAGGCAACAGTGCTACAAGCCACGATACAGCCTGCAATTTAGTAATATATGAAACAGAATACACCAGAGAACCACACATGACCACATTAGGCTGACCCCTCCTATTCCTGCCTAATGAGGTGGTACCTGATTCTTAAGTCTTTGACAGATCCCACTCTGAGGGAATTAACGTTACTATTTAGGAGAACAGAGATATGTTATTACGGATTGCCCCTGGCTACAGAATCTCATCTTAGTAGGTAAAGAGTTTTGTCAGTTTTACTTTGGCACAACTCACACTCTCACCTTTTCTCCTCAACTATCAAAACCATTTTCTTTACAAATGTCAAATCTATCAAGCATTGTTACAAATTACAATGAAAAGAATATAACCCAAAGATAAAATAATGTCTTTCCTGTTTTTGCAAAGATTATCGCCAATCAAGTCCAAAAGGGAATTTTGTACAAAAAGTGCATTTTTTACAATGTTATAGTCAAAAAAAATCTGATTTGGACGCATATTGGTGTATATATCTT